CACCCACCCACCCCGCTCACAGAATATCCATGCACACGTGCATGCACACACACACGCACACGCGCACGCGCACGCACACGTGCACGCGCACGCGCACACCCATGCACACACGCACGTGCACGCGCTCACGCACATGCACATGCGCACGCGCACGCACACGCACACGCACACCAACACACACATGCAATCACACTTCCTTGCTTTTCACGGCTCCCCTCCCTTTCCCCAGAGATGCGGCTGTGCGGCTCCGACGTCTGGGGCCACTTTGCGCCGCTCTTCCACCTGGTGGATGTGTTTGCTGTCTACGCAGTCACGCTGGTGGGCGGCCGCCACGTGCTGCTCCCGTCCTTTGCTCCCGTGGACGCGCTGCTCGCAATCGGTGAGATCGTATAGCCTGGGACCAGCGGTATGGGGCACCCCCTGAACCCTGAGCATTGAACCTTGAGAGGCCCCTGGAATCCTGCGCGATTGATGAGTATGGCTTCAGCAGGTCTGCTGTTTGCCAGGATATGACCAATTATATGATATACCTGGTGGACCGACTGGTGATTCTGTTGCAATCCAATACAGCTGTAGCCTGGCTGGTTTGCCAGCACCCACTTTCTCCAAGACCCTCACCCTGCACCCTGCGTGCGCGATACCCCCGCACAGAGCGCGAGGGCGTCAGTGTCTCCAACCTGGCCTCCACCATGGTGCGTGGCGCCTTGCTTCAGTCGATGCCCCACGGCCCCAGTGCTGAGGAGTATCCCCCGAGAGCGTCTGGCCTTGGGAGTTCTCAACCATGGGTGTCCCTTCGCCATCTCATGAAGTGCTGGCCATGGCAAGGCAGCTTCTCCACACATCGTTGCTGCCTGCGGCTGCAGTGGCGCTTCCCTCTCCTTCGCTGCTACGGGCAGACTTCCCCCCACACCCCATCCTGCCGTCTTCCACTCATCTCTACCTCCACGCCCCGCCCTCCCGCCCCACCCCACCTGCCGCCCCACCTCCGTGCCCGTAACCCCCACCAGGTGACCATGTTAGCCAGCAGCCCCATGCTGCCCCTGGCGGACCTGTCCTCCCTCCGCCTCCTCTCCTGTGGCGGCAGCCCCCAGTCGCCCGCCGTCATTGACCGCGCCATTGCCGCTTTCGGCTGCGAGTTCTTCGTGAGCTATGGGATGACAGAGTGCTGCGGCAAAATATCGATGAGCCTCCTGCCACGCGCGACGCCGGCTGCGTCTTGGTCGCCCGGTGGGGCCGGCGGCGGCGGAGAGCAGGGGGCCGTCGATGCGGCGGAGAGGCAGGTCGCGCGCGACGCGGCGTGGGCGGAGGCGGTCGCGGCGGCGGGCGGGCCGGAGGGGCTGCTGCAGCTGGTGCACACCTCGGGGCGCCCCTTCTTGCCGATGGAGGTGCGGTGCAGCGCTTTACCGTCCCCATGGCCTGCTCTGCTGCTTTTCCACTCGCACTGTGCGCCGATTTTCGCAGGCTCCCCAGCAGCCCCGAGCCCACACCATCCGTGCCTTCCTAGCGCGCGCCCTAAGCATCGACCCACGCAGCATCGAGCGCCGGCAAAATCCATCCCATCCAATGCGAACCTACCCTTAACCGTCATCAACCATCATCAACCGCCGCCAACCGCCGCCAACTGCCGCCAACCGCCGCCAACCACCACCAACCGCCACCAACTGCCAAAGGTGCGCATTGTGGACGAGGACGACCGCGACGTGGACCCTGGCTCCGGCGCCGCCGGCGAGGTCGTCTGCCGCGGCCCCACCGTCTTTGGCGGCTACACCGGCTCCGTCGCCGCCGCCGCTGAAGCCGAGGCCGAGGCCAGGGCCGCTACCGCTGCCGGCGCTGCCGTCTCCGTCACCGCCACTGGTGCTGGTGCCGACGCTGGGGCAGAAGCCAAGGCCGGGGCCGGGTCTGCGGTTGCGTCCAAAGGTGGCGGCAGCGGCGGTGACGGCGGCAGGGGCGGCGGCGGCGCGTGGCTGCAGCCCGGTGGCTGGTTTAGGACGGGTGATCTGGCAGTGGACCACGGGAATGGGTACATAACGGTCGTGGATCGCAAGAAGGACATGGTGAGATCTTGGCTTGATGTGCATCAATTATGGAATCCAGGTCAGGTGCAGGTATCTTAGAGGGCTCAATTGCAGGACTGTCGCACCCAACATTGCGCGTGAGTCTGCGCCGCAATGCAATGCACGAGCAGCCAGCCGCGACTCCTCACATGCCCCCTGGCCCGCGGCGCTGAGATGGGCGGGCACAGCCGACATGACTGACCACTTGCAGGCGCCTAACAGTCTAAACCTCCCCTCAAACTCTTGAACCCCAAACCCTTCCATACCAGATCCTGGTTGGGGGCGAGAACGTGTACTGCTCAGAGGTGGAGGCGGTACTGCAGCAGCACCCGACCGTCGCGCAGGCCGCCGCGTTCGCCGCCCCCTCCGCCCTCCTGAGAGAGGTCGTCGCCGCCGCCGTCGTGCTGCGCCCCCACGCCCTAGCCGTCCCCGCCGCCGACGGCACCGGCGGCCCGGCGGCGGCGGCGGCCGGGGCCCTGGCGCCGGCGGCCGCGCCGGCGACGCTGGTCGAGTGGTGCCGCGCGCGGCTCGCGCACTACAAGGTGCCGTCCCAGGTGCACGTGCTGGAGGCGATGCCAACAACAGGGTCGGGCAAGGTGCTCAAGCGGCAGCTCCGCACCATGCTGGTGCCCAGCGCCGCCACCCATGCTCCTCGCGTTGCCGCGACTGGTGGAGCCGCCGCTGGCGCTGCCGCCAGCAGCGCCTCTCCGCTCGCCGCGCACGACGCGCTGCGGCCGCTGGAGGTGTCGAGCGTCGGTGGCGCGCGCGGGCTCGCGCGCCTCGCCGCGACTGCGCTTGGGCCCGGCGCGCCGGTGCTGGCCCTGCCGCTCGCCGAGCCCCGGGGGGCGGGCCTGGACGCGCACGCGTGCTACGTGCTGCCGCTCACGAATGGTGTGGCTCTGCAGGAACAGGTCAGCGCCGGGGCGGCCAGACGTCCAAACCCTGATTTCCCGACCCTTGACTTTTGCCACATGGGTGCCTGATTGAATTTCAAGACCACCTGGATTCGGACCATTCACACCTCGACACCCGGCTGCACCTGCACACCGTTGTCAATCAAGTCCCGCCCCGCCTTGTTGACTGATCATCATAGTCAACTCATGACATCAGCCTCTCCCGAACCGCCCCCCGGACCTCCTCTCGTCCCCAGACCTCCGCTGCCCTCGCCGCCGGCGCGCGCCACCTCATGCTCCTGTCTGGCGACACGCCGTCCGCGCCGCAGCGCGCCGCCCTGGACGCCGCGGCCGCGCCCTACCCCGGGGCGCGCCTCGCCGTCGCGGTCGTCGACACGGCCGCCGTGCGCGACCCTGGGGCGCTGCTGCGCGCGCTGTACGGCGC